CTTCTTGTCTTCAAGCTACAATGTCTTCTGGTCCTCCAACCCAGGACTGCCGCTGCTGACAGAGATGGTGAAGAGTCGCCTAAATAGCTGGTTTCAGCATCAGCCCCCAGGGGATTCTCCTGAACGCTATCTCGGCTTGCCAAGATTTCTGAAGTGGGAGGACAGAGGCCCAAATGGGCAAAGGCAGGGACAAGGGCAGTTCTTGATACAGCAGGTGACTCTGAAAATCCCCTTTTCTATGGATTTGGTGTTTGAATCTAGCAGTGCCCAGGCAGGAGGAAACCAAGCCCTGGGACAGCTGGCAGGCAGCCTACTGACCCAGGCCCTAGAGAGCCATGCTGAAGCCTTTCGAGAGCGTTTTGAGAAGACTTTTCACCTAAAAGAGAAGGGCCTGAGTCCTGAGGAGCAGACTTTGGGTCAGGTTGCCCTCAGCAGCCTCCTTGGTGGGATTGGCTACTTCTATGGACAAGGTCTGGTATTGCCAGACATGGGGGTGGAAGGGTCTGAGCAGAAGGTGGACCCAGCCCTCTTTCCACCTCTCCCTCTTTTCTCAGGGGTACCCTCCAGGTCATTCTTCCCACGTGGCTTCCTTTGGGATGAGGGCTTTCACCAGCTAGTGGTCCAACGGTGGGATCCCCACCTCACCCGAGAGGTCCTAGGCCATTGGCTGGGGTTGCTGAATGCTGATGGCTGGATTGGGCGGGAGCAGATACTGGGGGATGAGGCCCGAGCCCGGGTACCCTCAGAATTCTTGGTGCAAAGGGCAGCCCATGCCAACCCCCCAACCCTCCTTTTACCTGTTGCCCACATGTTAAAAGGTGGTGACCCTGCTGACTTGAATTTCTTGCGCAGGGCCTTCCCCCGCCTTCATGCCTGGTTTTCCTGGCTCCATCAGAGCCAAGCAGGGCCAGTGCCACTCTCTTACCGCTGGCGAGGCAGGGACCCAGCCTTGCCTACCCTACTGAACCCCAAGACACTGCCATCAGGGCTGGATGACTATCCCCGGGCTTCACATCCTTCAGCAACTGAGAGGCACCTTGACCTGCGATGCTGGGTGGCACTGGGTGCCCGTGTGCTGTCTCAGCTTGCAGAGAAGCTAGGGGAAACTGAGGCAGCTGCTGAGCTGGGTCCACTGGCTGCCTCACTGGAGGCAGAGGAGAGCCTGGATGAGCTACACTGGGCTCCAGATCTAGGAGTCTTTGCAGACTTTGGGAACCACACAAAAGCTGTACAGCTGAAGCCTAGGCCCCCTCAGGGGCTGGTTCGAGTGGTGGGCCGGCCTCAACCCCGCTTGCAATATGTGGATGCCCTGGGTTACATTACTCTTTTTCCCTTCCTATTGCGACTTCTGGACCCCAACTCACCCCACCTTGGACCCCTGCTGGATGTTCTAGCTGACAGCCGCCATCTCTGGAGCCCCTTTGGTTTGCGCTCCCTTGCAGCTTCCAGCCCCTTTTATGGCAAGCGCAATTCAGAGCATGATCCCCCCTACTGGCGGGGTGCTGTGTGGCTGAATATCAATTACCTAGCTCTGGGAGCACTCCACCACTATGGGCACCTAGAAGGTCCACATCAGACCCAGGCTGCCAAGCTCCACAGTGAGCTCCGTGCCAATGTGATAGGCAATGTGTGGAGGCAGTACCAGGCTACAGGGTTTCTGTGGGAACAGTACAGTGACCAGGATGGGCATGGCATGGGCTGCCGCCCTTTCCATGGCTGGACCACCCTAGTCTTGCTGATCATGTCTGAAGACTACTGAACAGGGGGATGGGAGAAAAGCCAAGCCACGCAGAATCTGGAGGTACAAGGTCTCCTGCTGCCCAGCTTCTCAGTTACCAGTAATTCAAACCTTCCTCTGCTCATCTCAGGTGTCTACTATGTCGCCCCACACAGCCTGGGGTGAATGTGAACTCAGAGTCTATTTTTCTAAATAAATTGGAAAAAAAAACCAAACTATTGCATTTGCCAGCCTTGCTTCACCAAGTCTTAGTTCAGGCTTCAGGGATACCTACTATCTTCAAAGCCACGTATATCAAATGCAGTGCAGCGAATTGAGTTCTAGTCCACTCATCCACAAGCAGCTGGTTCACATCTCTTTAATGAGATCAAAGGCTCCTGTGGATGTCTTTGGGGAGGGCAAAACTAGCACAGTCCCCCAATACTGCCCCTCTCCTCAGGGCTCCAGCCCCTTCAGGCAGATTCTAGGAGGGCAGGGAGGAACCAAGGAGGAATTTGAGGCCAGGGCTATTTGTGATAAGCCAGTGGTCCACCCACCCTCCCAAAACTACTTATGGGATGTCCCCTTCACTGGAAGCCAGCCCCATGGGAGAGACCTGTGGCAAGGGGTCTGGGGGCAGTGTACAAGGGGACTGGTCCTCCAGACCTGGTGGGATGGCACTAGCCCTCACCTCCTTGATTGGGTCAACCTCACTGGAATCAGGACAAGGGCAGAGCTCAATACCCGAGTCGCCTGTCAGGCGACGATAGCGGCAAGAGGGAGGTGTGTGGGCTGGGCTGACCCTTGCCCTAGGCTCACTCTCCTGATGAGGGGAGGCACTCTCGTGGGAGGAAACACCTTCCACGTTTGTCCCCTCGCAGTGGGCAGGGCGGTTGGATGCAGAGGAACAGCGGGTGCATTCACTGGAAGCAGTTAAGGGGTGGCCAGGGGCCATAGTATAAGGAGGTGGTGGTGTGCCTGGGCGGTGAACCACATCCTCATAGGCAGGGGGTTTGAAGGCGCTGAGGAGGCCTGCAGGGAAGAGAATAGCATGGTTGAAGGCAACCAAGCATGGAGAAGTGATCTGACACTTGAGAAAAGGGTTCTTTGAAATGTGTGCAAAAGGGAATGTGGGATGATTCAGGGTCCTGGTTTGGGAAGGGTCACTGGTAGTGGACTCAGAGCCTCAAGTCACTCACGAAGGTCAAGCAGTGAACCGGCAGGGACAGGGCCAGCCCCGTGGCATGCCCCATGGTAGGCCAACAAGTTGATCTCACGTTGCCGCTGCTGTTGTTGCAGCCGGAGTTTAGCTCGTCGGTGGCGGAAGGCACAACAGCAGCTAAAGAGGATGAGGACAGTCCAGAGCAGCCAGAACCCTGCAGGAGGCAAGGAAGGAGTATCTTAAATATCTCCCATTCAGAGAAGGGTCCTTGAAAACTGGAGTTTCAGGGTCCAAAGGAGGATGGGCAGAGGGACCTGAGAATAGCCCTCATGGAGACTCACACCAGAGTTCATAGTAGTAGGTACAGCAGCCAGTCTCCCCGCAGCAATGACCACTCTCACAGAGGTAGGGCTGGTTGTTCACTCCTGGGCACAGCTCTCGAAGCTGGGAGCAAGGAGGCACTTGAACTAAGGAAGATTCTAGCTCCAAGCATTGCCCACCCGCACCTCCTTCATGCACATAATACACAATTCTACCCATGAGCCAAGTTCAGCTTGGAAAGATGAAGGGAAAGAGGGATGCTGGGGGAATTGTTCAAATATTTGAAAGGCTATCAATGTGAAAGAGAATTTGGAACAGCAAGAAATTGGTGCAGTCTAGAAAACAAACATAAAAGTGTTCACAACAAAGAGGAAGATAGATTCCAGCTCTGCATAACGGAGATTTCTCTCATACTGAAGCCTGGCCCCGCAGGGTGCTTTCTGTTAAGGGAGTGTTTGGGCAGAAGTGAGAAGCCAGTCTGAGCTATCTGTCTGAGAAATGAGTAAGAATTTAAGGTCATTTCCAAAGCTAAAATACTTTCATCATCTCTCACAGCCTGCTACCCCCCACCCCCAAGCTGAATCTTTCCACTTCTGGGACTCAGTCTCTCTAGGGTAGAGGAGGGGAAGTGTGAGACCCAGAGCAGTGCTCCCAACCAGATGGGATTGCTGTGGATGATAAAGGATGGCATCCAGGGCGCGAGTCTGGGTTCCAGCTCTTCTCCAGATTGCTCCCTCAAGAGAAGACGCTGCTGGACTCTGTTGTGACAATAGGCACACACAAAAACAAAAAATAACAAATAACTGTTTCAAGACAAAGGGAGTCTCCCTGGGGCCTCACTATGCCTCTGGTCACTGGAGAGCTACTGCAAGCTTCCACTGCAGCAAAGGGATGGGGTCTGAGGCTGCAGTTTAAGTCAACTGCGTCTACATTACAAAGTTTAGACAAAGAGTGGGACATGTTTAGGAACTTCACAGTACCTTTGGCTCCGTGAGTTCCTCCCCCACCACCCCCCCCTCACCAACAGGAAGGGTCAGGAAGGGGAAAGAGAAATAAATGGCTGTCGTAATAGGCTTTTGGAGCTTTGGGATACCTGCTGTTGTGGCGCTTGAAGTGCCCCCCAGGCCTCCTCGCTGCCGTTCCCGCTGCTGGCCCGAGCCATGCCTCCACCTACAGCCCCCTGAACACCACAGCCTCCTCTACCGCCAGCTGCCCCGCCCCTGCCACCTCTGCTGGCACCGCCATGGTCCCTGCCCGGCCCATGTTCGCTGCCGCCACCATCACTCCGCGGCCGGAGCTTCCATCCGGGGAGAGCTCGGCCAACTAGGACCCAGGTTGGCCTATCCAGCCAATCAGCATCTTCCTTCGACGGACTAGCCAATTGGAGCACATTAGCGATTTCTCCCAGTAACCAATCCCCAGAAGTAACTCCGCCGCTCTCCCAGACAACAAGAGCTTGCACAGACAAAGAGTGGGGGAAGGTTCGACCAGAGCCCTGACTGACAGCGACAATAGCCAATATGGACAACAGAACAAGCTTTGACTTATCAACCAATGAATGCCGTCCAGAAGAGCAAAGTTCCTACTGATTGGCCTAAACCAGGTTTCCCGGATGACGCCCAATGCCGAACCACCACAGGTAATCCCGCTGGAAGAGGCAAGGTTCTGAGAGTCGGCCCGAGTCCAAGGGTGCATCCGCTGGCCTTCTTGCAGTGGTTTCCAAACCCACGTAGGGCAAGATGTGTGTACCAGAGGTTGGTCTGCCCATATACCACTCCCCCAAGTCCGTACAAGCTGAGACACTGGATGAAATTTAATAGGGTAGGGAAGACACTGAAAACCAGGCATGGGGAGAGAGCGTAGAGTCCAGGTTTGGTAACGGCCTTAAGTAGCCAAAAGGGGGGACCCTGGGCCCTCGGGTCCCCCAAGCCGCATCTGCAGGTTGATACGATAACACTGAAGGCTGCACAGCGCCTGGCCCGTGCGGGAGCAGGCGTACCGGCGCGGGTGAGGGCAGCCAGGGACAGAGCAGCGCGGAGGAGGGCCTGTTGGAGCTGGACGCTGAGAGACAGCAGCGGGGGCGGGGACGCCAGGTGGGAAGGAAAGAGTGGAACCCTGTGCCCCACTGCTGTAGCGCACCATGGGGGCCGGGGCTGCGGCCCGCCCTCCCCGCCGCTCGCCCCGCGCAGCCCCCCGACCTCCCCGCCCGCTAGGAGCCGCAGTCTTGGTGAGGCGCTCGATTGTCTGGTTCTTGTGCTCCTCCGCTCGCCGCGCGGCCTGCAGTCGCCGCTTGCGCGCTCGCTCCTCGCGTTTCAGCAGCATCTCCTCCGTGAGGGCAGGGGCTGGGCAGCCCCCAGCGACAGGCAGCGGTATCATCGGGGAAGGCTGACTCCGTGCCTTCTGGAGCAGAGCTCGCTGGGGAGAGAGAAGGAGTAGCATCTGACAATGGAGCAAGAGGGAATTGGGAGGCCCGCCAGGTCCAGGGAAGGGACAGAGGGGACGTGGAACGAACATATAGGATCTTGAGGAATGCAGACCTGGGGAGAAGGGGAATTAATGAGCACCCTCTTCTGGGGTCCTTAATACTGCCTCCTCCCAGGTCTCTCCTGATATTCAGGTTTAGATTCTCAACTCTCAAAGGGAAAAAAAAAAAGTAATATTACCTGCCTGCCCTATGTACCAAAACTCTGCCACTCTTCTGGAGGTTTTTGTTGTTTTAATCTTTTTATCTCAATAGATAGCATCAACTGGATAATTGCTCAAGCCAAAAATTCAGGGTTACCCATGATTCCATTTTTCATCAAATATCTATTTCCAAAATATATCCAGCATTCATCTGATTTCTCCATTTCCACTTTAAACTTGATTCCAATCATCACCATCTCTTAGCTTCCTAATTGGACTCCCCACTTTATCACTTAAGACTCATTCTCCACATAGAAGCTAAAGTAATCTATTGAAATGCAAACCCAATGTTATTTCTCTGCACACAACCCATCAGTGGCTTGGCCACAATTTTTCTTCTCCTTTACCTTGCTAGGTAAGTTCCAGTCTCAGGGCTTTGCATCTATTGGTCCTTTTTGCCTGAAGAGCTCCTCTGATATTGGAACTATTACTGCTTCAAAAAGGCCTTCCCTGACATGTACACCTAATGTCTCTTTGCCACTATTTTCATTATACAACCTTTTTCTTGTCATAAACTGTAGAGCATCTTGCAATTATTTGCTTATCCCCCCTCCCAACACACACACACACACACACACACACACACACCCTAGACTATCAGCTCCATGAAAATAGAAAGTTTGTCTTTTCTCCCCATTGATGCCTCATTGCCTAGCAAAGTGCTTGGGACACTGCAAGTTCCCAATACACATTTGGTGAGTAAATAAAGAATGAAATTAACTTACTTGTCGAGCTGTGAGCAACCGTTCATTGATCTCCTTCTTGAGGTCTCCATTGTCATCCAGTTCCCCCTTCTCCAGGGCATCCAGCCACCTCTGTTCCTCCTCTTCTTCCTGGCCCCCTAACCCCCCTGACAGATCCCGAATTGGAGAGGGGGACAGATTACTGTCTTCATCTAGGAAGGAAAGTTGGACAGATATGAGTAGAATTGTTTAGATGAGGGCCCTGTTTGGCCAAGTTAATTCTAGGACATTAAAATTTCTCACCTACTTCAGAACCAACCCCCTTCCTTACTCAGGTATAACAAAAAAAAAAAAAAAAAAAGTTTCCCCACCTCCAGGTCCTTCTCACCCAGCCAGGCTCGGTACTGCTCCAAGGGAACTCCTTCCATAGGTTCCTCTTCATTATCCACAACCATGAGAGGAGAGGGTGAACGAGGACCCTCAGGGATCACAGTGAAGGTAGGAACACTGCAGAGAGAAAACACTACTCTATAAAGTGACCAAGTATTTCCTGCTCGGTATATACATCACAGCCTTCCCTACACCGTTGGGTTTTGGCTGCCTAAACCTGGGACCTGAATTCACAGTGCCTTCTCTGTCTTCTAGAAAGCCCAGCCAGTTTCTACTTTCGCCTGCTCCTAAAGTTCCCCAGGGAAACTCTAGAACCTCTTGGCCTCACCTCTTGGTGCCTAAGACCTGCCCGCCCAGCTTGATTTTGAGTTTGAGCTGGGGCTTGGCGGGAGATGGCTGTGTGGGACCGGCCTCCTCTTCCTGATGGTGTTTCTTCTTGTGCTTTTTCTTGTGCTTCTTGTGCTTTTTCTTGTGCACTCCGTGGCCATGGGCACCCGCGAGGCTCAACTCCAGCGCTTCCCCTGCGGAAGGAGAGCCTGTCAGCGGCGTTCGGCCAAACCGTGGCAGAGGAAACCCTGAATAATCTAACACTAATAAAGGGGACCCCTCTTCCTGCGGTACTAGCTGTTGCCATAACGACAGCACAGCCTTTCTTCCTCCCACCTGTGGCAAGGTACTCAGGACGCTCCAAGAAGCATAAAGAACTCCTTTTCAAAGAAGGCCTAAGTTGGATAGGCAAATGCTTACCCGGCTCAGGAGCCTCCATAGCCCCTGAGGTGCTCCCGCGCCGCCACAGCTTACTCATGGGGTCCTCTAAGGGAAAAGGTCTGGAAATGGTCGGGAAACAAGCAGACATGCCTTTTCCGCCCCGCGGAAGAACTAATCCCGCAAAATAAACCTCTACTTCCGGTGCATGGCAACCATGCTTGTGCGGGGCACGCTTTGCAGCCAAAATCCTCCCCGAGAAACAACGATCCTTTCAACGAAAGTTCCGGGCTCTTTGAGCCAGAACGGCCCAAACGGGGCATGGCTTTCTCCTCGCTCCGCCTCTCCAACTAGATTCCTAAACTCGACCCGCGCGAGCCAATTATTACACTCAAGCTTGGTAAACATATACCCCAGACCAAATGTGGGAGCTAGGTTAAGAGAATACAAAGGTGAAAATGAACACTAACTCTTCTCTAGAGGAGCTCACAGTTCGGTGGAAGAATTCATAAGAAAGTACCTTGTTGGGGCTGGGGATGTGGCTCAAGCGGTAGCGCGCTCGCCTGGCATGCATGTGGCCCAGGTTCAATCCTCAGCACCACATACAAACAAAGATGTTGTGTCTGCCGAAAACTAAAAATATATATATATATATAAAAGAAAGTACATTGTCAGCAAGATGCTTAACAGCGTAAGTGCCTCAAGAGCCCAGTAGGTGGAATTTAAGCCTAAAATCTCATCGGTAGGGAAATGGACAACAATTAACGGTGTATCTATACAATTTGGAACACCACGTTGCTGAGAAAAGTTGAGCAATGTAAAAATTGACACAGAATTTTGATACCTGTGATTTGTAACACTTTGGAAACAATCCAAGGATCCTGATAGACATCAAAAATTAGTTTGGGGGATTTTTTCCCCCCAGAAGTGGCTGCCGCACTATCGCATTTTATGCTTCTGACATGAAGGAAGCAGAATCTTTACCTGGTAGATTTATTTTTGTGGGCATCTACCCACCGCTGGGTCTGGGACATCACTTAAGTGTCCGTCGGTGGAGTCGCAGAGATGTCGAAAAGTTGTGCTGAAGAAAACAAAACATATCAATGACAAATAGCCCAGGGTATTACAAATGGTCTTGCTATGGCTTCCTTGACTGGCCTCAAACTCTTGGGCTCAGATGATCCTCCTGCCTCAGACTTCTGAGTAGCTGGATCTACAGAATAAGACTGATTTTGTGGGGAAATGAAGCTATGTATTCCAGTTTTAGAAGACCTGAATCTGCTGTGTTGAAAATCTCCTTTTCTTGTCCCTTTAGGAATGACAGAAATAAAAGCAAATGAGTCGTTTTAACAGGTGTTGGTATTAAGATGGTTTACTGTAATAAGAATGGCTTCTGCTTGCTCCACAACTGCATGAAGGGAGATAAGGTCAGGTACTGGTAGTAGCAGAATCTGAAAGAAGGGAGATAAGGACAGGTACTGGTAAAATAGCAGTAATGATGAACAATGAAGACAAAACCACCAGTTTGAAGAGATTATGAGTATCATTTAAATTATATATAGTCATATATAAATTATATATACTTATATAATATACATCGTAATAAATATATATAAATATTATATAATAAATTAAATTTATTATTACGTAATTGAACCCTCTGAGATTTTTTTCCTTTCACATATTATAGATGTAAAACCTGAGATCATATTTCACTAAGAGCCTACTTCCTAGACTTGGTTTGTGTTTTTGTAATGTAGAAGAGGTGCTATGAAATCTTGAATATTACAACTTTGAAATCAGAATAGCTGGCTCCAAAGCCAATATGTGATTGGATTTTTTAATATTTAATTTTTAGTTTTAGGTGGACACAATATCTTTATTTTATATTTATGTAGGATTGAATCCAGTGCCTCACGCACACTAGGCAAGAATTCTACCACTAAACCACAACCCCAGCCCCTATGATTGGAATTTTTAAAATAGCAAATGCATTCTTTTTTCTAGAATTATGAGGCTTTTTTAAAACATCACCACCTAGGTTTATTGACYCTGTTGTCACTATTTTTAAAGCTTGTTACATTGTATTTTACTYTAAAAAATATTTTTTAGTTGCAGATGGACACAATACCTTGATTTTACTTATTTAGTTTTGTGTGTGGTGCTAAGGATTGAACCCATGTGCTAGGCAAGCACTCTACCACTGAGCCACAACCCCAGCCCTGTATTCTACTTTTTAATATAAATCACTCAGGTTTTCTTAAGCTTTTTTTTTTTTTAAAAAAAGGTTTTGAAATACTGCTCTTCTTATCTTGTTAAAAGAATTGTTATGATAAACCTGAAAAAGTGAAACATCTTTCCCAAAGAAACAACAGATTACAAATGAGCCAGCTTCRTGGATCATATATGGAAGTAATTAAYTATAAAGTTTGCAGGGCCAAGGGCACAGTTCAATGATAGAGAATGCTGATGCTCAAGCTGTGTCTGCAGGACCACATGAGGAGGAAGGAACAATGACAACAGCAAAAGTCATGACATTAGGTTTACAAATACTAGTCTGAGGAAATAGACAAATCCTATCAGGTACAAAGGCAACTGAAGTGGACTCTAAAATATGCAGGGGTATGGAACCTAAAGGGAGATCTTTAGTCAAAGATTTTATTTTAGTGAATTAATTGCATCCTACACAGACAAACCTAAACAAACCTGGAAAAAACGCATTTTAAATAGGAAAAATGTTTTTATATATGTTCATGTAGTTTATAGTTTTGGTAAACAGATCATCAGAAGAGAAACAGGCTACAGCAAAGATGAAGAGCAGGAGTTGGCAAATTCTTTTAGTAAAGGGTCAAATAATAAGTAGACTTTATTGAAAAGTAGACATAGACTGAATATGCCTGTATTCCAGTAAAATTTACTTAAGAAAGCAGGTGGTGGGCCATAGTTTTCAAATCCTGGAAAAAAAGTTGGGGGCTGGAAATACAATTCAGAGGTAGAGTGCCTGCCTAGAATACATGAGGGTTCCATCTCCTGAACAAGTCATGGTGGCACACTTTTGTAATCCCAGCAACTGGGGAGTCTGTGGCTGGAGGATCCTAAATTCAAGGTCAGTATTTTAGCAAGAACAGAAGGGACAGAGAAGTTGCTTAACTTTAGAGTACCCCTGGGTTCAGTTCCCAATACCAGGGGAGAAAAAGAAACAAAACAAGGTATATCTGTATGTGTTGATAATTTTTTRTTTGTTTTAATTAGTTACATATGACAGTACAATGATCTTGATATATCATACATTTGAATCAGATTGTGTTGATAAATTTTAAAAGTTTCAAGATAACGTGGTTCCATTTTTAAAGGTATAATCCACTAGCTGGCATAGTGGATTCATGACTATAATTAGTCCCAATGACTTATGAGGCTGAGTCAGGAGGATATCAAGCTTAAGACCAGTCTTAGCAACTTAGCAAGACTTGTCTAATAAATAAATAAATAAATAAGGACTGGGGATGAACTCAGCAGTACAGTACCCCTGGGATAAATCCCTAGTCCATAAAAAAGAAGAATTGGGGGTTTAGGCACTTTTACTATCTAGGTCTGTAATGCACTTTCTTACAAAGTACATCACATTTGCAATTTAGGAATAAACAACACACACACACATATATATATATATATATATATATATATATATATAGAGAGAGAGAGAGAGAGAGAGAGAGAGAGAGAGTGTACAATGCAAATAAAGGAAATAACTTATTTGAGAGACATTTCAATGATAAAAATTATCAAGTATCAATATGTAGTTATGTATGGGAATTGAGTAAGAAGTCAATGTAGTAGAGTGATTAAGAGATTGGACTTTGGAGTTATACAAGTCTATTATCGGATCCAAGTTCCAACATTTATTATCTGTGCAACCTTGGACTCAAAGTTATTTAAGCTCTCTGAATCTCAGATTTTAGCTTTGTAAAATGGAATAAAGTAGGATCAACTTTATAGGGTTCTTTGAAGGAATAAAGCAAATCAAGAAAGCAAAATATCTAGGGTAGTATTGGCACATAAGAGGTTTCTAGCAAATAGTAATAGTTATAATAATAATTAATGACTTTCATGTTTCTAGGTAAAGTATATAGAGGGAATGTTTTTTTTAAAAAAATTTTTTTATATAAAGAACCCAGGCACTTTGCACATTTTAGGCAAGTACTCTATTACTGACCTACATTCCCTGCCTTTTAAAAAATCTTATTTTGGGCTGGGGATGTGGCTCAAGTGGTAGCGCGCTCGCCTGGCATGCGTGCGGCCCGGGTTCGATCCTCAGCACCACATACCAACAAAGATGTTGTGTCCGCCGAGAACTAAAAAATAAATATTAAAAAAAAAGTTCTCTCTCTCTCTCTCTCTCCTCTCTCTCACTCTCTCTTTAAAAAAAAATAAATAAATAAAAATAAAAAATCTTATTTTGAGGCAGGGTCTTCCTGGACAGGCAGTCCGCTGTTCATTGGGTTCTTTTTCTGGTCCTTTTCCTCTTCATCTTCTTGCACTTTTTGGACTCTTATTTGCCTCCATCCCTTGAGGACTCCATTGTTATACTGATGTCATCTCCACTCACACTTTCAATGTTCGGTAAGGTTGAGAAAAGGAGGAATAAACAACACCTATATACACTGCACTGAAGCTGTGACCAGCTGTGTGCAGTCCTGTAGGGTGAGGAGAGGATGCATTTTAGAACGCTTTGAAGGTGATATTCCCAAGTCACTGGGAGTTAAAGTGAAGAATCACTCATAATAAACAGTTGGAGAAGACCTAAGAGTTTATAACTTGCTTTCATATGGTTTCTTTCTTTTCTTTTCTTTCTTTCTTTCTTTTTATTTTTTATTTTTTATTTTTTGGTGGCACTGGAGATTAAACCCAGGGATGCTTTACCACTGAGCCACATTCCCAGCCCTTTTTGTGTTTTTCATTTTGAGACAAAGTGTTGCTAAGTTGCTTAGGGCTTTACTAATTTGCTGAGGCTGGCCTCAAACTTGCAGTCCTCTTGCCTCAGCCTCTCAAATTACTGGGATTAAGACATGTACAACCAGGCCCCACTCGTGGCCTTTTTCTACCCTAACCCTCATGATAACTCTCGAAGGGAGTTGTTCCCATCTTACATGAGGAAACTAGGGCTGGGGTTGTGGCTCCGTGGTAG